TCAAATTTTTCTGGGTTTGTTTTTATAAACAACTGAGCTATAATAATTTGTATAACTCTAAGGTAAACAAAGCTGAGAACATTTTACAAGGGATAAAATTTGTACATTTGGTCACAAAAAATTTTGATTTCTGTATGTTTCATTCTCAACAGCTATTAAAATTTTTCAATTTATTACTTTCAAAACTTAAAATTTTACTATTTCTTACCTCCATAATCCTAATGTTTACAAGTGCACTTAATTTCATTAATTTTGTTTGCGCTGGTCAGAATAACAATTAATTAACATGATGACAACAGAAACTGAATTGTTCACGCATACTTGCAAAATATTTTTTTTTTTTTTATTTGTAATTTCAAACGATTATGTTACGTTTAAATTTTTTCTAGTATCATTAGTATTTAATAGAAGTTACATTTAACGCACGTATTAACTGATTTAAGGTGGCTCCTCACTCCTATACAGCACGTATTTATAATATTTTATTAAAATGTTTATTGAAAGTTATAACAAGTGTCATTTAGCCTGACAATATCATATCTAGTGCTAAGCACTGTGAGATTTTTTTCATAAAATTTTGTTGATAAATTTCTGAGATACCAAAACTTGGAAAAAATTCAACAAATTANTTATTGAAAGTTATAACAAGTGTCATTTAGCCTGACAATATTATAGCTAGTGCTAAACATCATGCAATTTTTTTCATAAAATTTTGTTGATAAATTTCTGAGATACCAAAACTTGGAAAAAATTCAACAAATGACTGTAATCTTTTTTCATTTTACATCTAATATTTAATTTTTCGGGCTCATTTTCTTCCTTGAACAAAATCATTGGGAGTTACCACTGACAAAATTGCAATAACTTAGATAGGTTTCCCATAAATTTAATTTGTTTACTTGTTCTTCGTATTCTCATATAAACAATTGAACTTTGTGGGAAACCTATCCAAGTTATTGCAATTTTGTCGGTGGTGACTCCCAATAAATTTGTTTAAGGAAGAGAATGAGCGCAAAAAATTAAAAATTAGATGTAAATTGAAAGAGATTACAGTAATTTGTTGAATTTTTTCCAAGTTTCGGTGTCTAAGAAATTTATCAACAAAATTTTATGAAAAAAATCGCATGATGTTTAGCACTAGCTATAATATTGTCAGACTAACTGACACTTGTTATAACTTTCAATAAAAATTTTAATAAAATATTTCAAATACGTGCTGTATAAGGGTGAGGAGCTACCTTAAGCGGTTAATCTTTAGGGGGCTCGAATCGTGATAAATCTGTCTGTTAAGCATTTTTTTCACGAGGATGGGGTTGATAAATCTTGTTTGTGCTTTAGATACAAGCAGTAGTTTAAATGAGTTACAATACTAGTAGAATAATCGAATTATTTCTGATTTCTAAAAATCTCCAGTACATTTAGAACTNAGGCATTTATCGTTGGAATATCTTAAGGATTGCAGAGAAAGTTTTTGGACAATAAAGATTTGAATAAGTCTGTGTTCGATCACTTCATTGCATTATGCAAGGTGTGTCATATTGCTAAAATTTAAAGAATGCCTTTGAACACTAGAAGAGAGAGGGCATCGAAACAACTCATCCTAAAAGATACAAATTTATGATAGTGTACACAGACGACTACTTAATATTGACGATGGCATACCCTGTGAAAGTGAAAAGTAAAGCAAGAAATTGTATGGACAAATTTGCGACCAGTGCACGAAATCTACTGGACTTTAATGCAAAGATGTGCTATAACAGAACTGACCAAGGCACAGAGTTTACAGGAGGTCGAACGGTGGAAATTCTCCAGAGATTGGGAGCTGAGTTTCAACTGGTTTCTCCAGACAATCTTCAATACAATGGCGTTTCAGAACGAATCAATCGCACAACACACCTGTCCAACAAAATAACAGCTCCCTTAGGAAATTTTACCCCCAATCTAAAGATAGAAATAAATCAAATAAGATTTGGTCGTGTGGCCTTTATTAAGATACACAGGAACACTGGAACCAAATACAGCCCACAAGGTATACGAGTAGTACTGGTTGGCTATACTACTACCGGCTACATTTTTCTAAGACCAGAGGATGTAAATTTTATGAGGTTCCGGGTGTAAAATTTCATGAAAGACTTGTATTTTGAAATGTCTGGGGAAGTGATAAAATAGCAAACTGAAATAATCATAAGACAGACATTAAATAAGATGAATGGTTCATTAAGTTTGGTAAAGATAGTCTTGAAGTATTATTAGAAACGGAGGGAGAACATTGAGTCAAGATGAAATGAGGACAACTGAGGAAGAATAAAGAGCTTGTTCAAGTAAACTTCAAAGCAATTGACGAAAGATTGGAGTCGATGCATAAAATCAAGTATGGAAAATTGTAGATAGATCAACTATGAATGTTAAAGGAAGCAAGCCAAACATCATAGATTCCAGACGAGTCCTAAAGAAGAAGATAGACGAAGATGGGAACCACGACATTTAAAGTAAGGTTGGTGATTCGTGGGTTTAAAAATAGGAATAAGTACGACTTGCAAGAGACTTATGCCCCTGTATCTGGGTTGGCTCTTGTGAGATCAGTAATATCAACTTTTCATATATTTAATCTAGAAACTTGTCTGCTGGATGTCAAGACAGCATTCATGAATACTTCAATCAAGAAAGAAATAAATATAGTGTTTCTTGAAGGTCTGCTTGACGAAGATTAACTTAAGAAAAATAATGTATGTAATCTATTAAAAGCCCTTTATAGACTCAAGATCAGCTTGAAGAAATGGATCGAGTGTTTTCGTGTGGCTGCACTGAAACTAGTATCATAAACGCACACCAGTGAAACTTGCCTTTACACATGGAAAGAAAAAGTTAACCTTTTAATCTTGATTCCATATGAAGATGATATCATGATAGCAAGAAATTGGTAAGTAAACTAAAAGTAATTAAGATTGGTCTGCAGTCTGACTTTGAGATATCAGATCTTGGCGAGGTTGGCACTTTCCTAGTTATCACAGTCACAAGAGATAGAAAACATAATTCAATTTCACTTACGCAAACACCATACTTCGACAAAGTTCTGGAAAGGTTTGGATTTACCGACTCAAAACCACAAAGAACACAAATGGTGACAAATCAAGCCCTGAATCGGCAAAGAAAAGACAGATAAGAATCGGAAGAAACTTGAGAACTGAACAAAACTAAAACTGAAGAAAATGTACCTCACAGAAAAGCAGTTGGAATTCTGTTGTATCTGGCTAACACAGTCAGACCAGACATCTCGCACTCTGTGAATGTATTAAGCAGATACCAAATCTGCCCAACTGATGACTAGAGAATGGTAAAACGAGTCTTTCGATATCTGTAACACACCAGAACTCTGGGATTAACCTACAGAGGCCGGAAAAATAAGATGGAAGTCTTTTCAGATGCGAGTTTGGCAGACTGTAAAGGCTCAATTACGACAGGTGGATACCTCATAAGATTGTATTGCGATACAGTTGCTTGGAAGACGAGAAAAACCGAGTTACGTTGTAATCTCAACCTGCGAGGCAGAATACGTGGCGATGAGTGATGCAAGGCAGGAGCTGATAGGATTGGAACACTCAATCAGCTTAATACTGTCATACATTCTGTTGCCTGCGGACCTTTGGTGTGACAACAAAGTCACCGGAGCAAGTGCTAATATAGATGGTGGCAAAAGACTGAAACACATGACCGAGATCAAGGCTCACTACGTTAAGGAATGTGTATCCAGAGGAAAAATAATCGTTAAATGGATTTCATTCAAGGAATAACTAGCAGACATTTTTACAAAACCCCTGCCCTTTGAACTGTATGAAAGACTAACAAAAGAAATTTTGAATGTTAATCAGTGTAAATTGCATGATAATTAAACTTGAACTTGAGATAGTAAAATTAATAAATTGATAATAGATAGATAATGATAGTAGACATGCCGATTAATGTATCTCTCTGTGTATGTTTTAGCTCGTCACAACCAACCCCAATGAGTGATCAAGAAGCCGACGTGCTCCACATCTTCATTTGATCACTTATTTTTCTATATATGATTACTCAGTGTAGATAATCTAATATTTCTTTCCTTTTTTATCATACATTGTTATTATACATTTCAAAGTTTCATTATATTATATTATACATTGTTAAATTCGGATACTAATGGGAGGAAGTGTAAGATGTACATTTGGCACNGAAGTTCACGTAAAAGTATTTTTAAATGATGAAAAAAAAAATTCAAACATTTAGAAATTTTGATAGTAATGAAAAATTGACTCTTTTTGATTTGATCTTGCTTTATTTCAGTTCAGCTTACGATTGTATCCTTCATTGTAAAGACTAAAGATAGCATACACTGAAGATAGTGAGAATAAACGTGTCCGTGTTTTATAATAAAAACGACAGAGTTGTACATTTTATTGCCCGATCACATACCCTCACATCCATACTGCTAACAGTTTCCCATGAATTTAATTTGTTTACTTATTCTTTGTATTCTCATATAAACAACTGAACTTTGTGGGAAACCTATCCAAGTTATTGGAATTTTGTCCGTGGTGACTCCCGATAAATTTGTTCAAGGAAGAGAATGAGCGCAAAAAATTAAATATTAGATGTACATTGAGAAAGATTACAGTAATTTGTTCAATTTTTTTCAAGTTTCGATATCTAAGAAATTTATCAACAAAATTTTATGAAAAAAATCGCATGATGTTTAGCACTAGCTATAATAATGTCAGACTAACTGACACTTGTTATAACTTTCAATAAAAATTTTAATAAAATATTCCAAATACGTGCTGTATACTTAAGGGTGAGGAGCCACCTTAAGTAATAGTAATAAATATGTTATTTTCAAGCTTGGTCCAAAAATAATTAGCTATGAACAGGATTCATCACGTTCACGCTACCGTCGCAGTACCATTATCAGTACGTGTGTCACAAAAAACTTGTTGAAACTGACCTAATTAGTCGTTCTACAGCTGAATAAATCACAACAGAAGGTTGATTTCAGTAGCCAGTGATGACAATGGTACTAGTAGTGACTGAAAAATTGATATTAATACTTATAAAAATATTTTATACATTTTTAACCATTTTTTTAATGGAGCAAATGAGTTAGAAAAGTATTTAATGAATTATACAAAAATTATTTATCCGATGAGCCACTGTTGTTTCAAAAGTTACGTAGAAAGTTCGAGACAAAAAAAAAAACTAAATGAAAAAAATATCCTGTGATACGTTTTATTGTGTTCTATAAAGTTAGTAACGTACGTATGTTTAAAATGTTGATGTAAGTGAGTAAAAAGAAAATAAAAAAAAACAGACGAAAAGCTGGATCATTTGAAAATATATGACATATTTAAATCACATGAATTCGTATGCTNTTACTTAAATCTCTTAACGTTCCATCTACTATTTCCAATGCTCTTTTTGGAATCATTAAAGCTTCATCCCAAATAATTAAATCAACTTCTCTTAGTTATTTTTATCTCACTCGAATTCTAAAAATGCACTCTCTATGTTATTAAGATCTAAAGAAAGTCCAAAAGTTCTATGACTGGTCCATTCCCTTTGGAAGCAAAATTGATGCTATGCCAGTCCACGCCATTGACATGATTTTTTTTATTTTGAGAAATAAAAAAATAAATTAACGTTTTNCCACTGTTGTTTCAAAAGTTACGTAGAAAGTTCGAGACAAAAAAAAAACTAAATGAAAAAAATATCCTGTGATACGTTTTATTGTGTTCTATAAAGTTAGTAACGTACGTATGTTTAAAATGTTGATGTAAGTGAGTAAAAAGAAAATAAAAAAAAACAGACGAAAAGCTGGATCATTTGAAAATATATGACATATTTAAATCACATGAATTCGTATGCTTCTGGCAATACTTACATGTTAATTAATTTCTATTTTATGTAAAAAATGTGATAAATTATAAAGCATTTACTTTGTTGCATCAGCTATTTTATTTTCAATATCATCCTTTTTTTATCTTCAAATTACCTTATTGTTCATAAAGTGATACAATTTTATAAATAATTGTGGGATCACATTCGAAGTTCTTTAAATTGGTCGTACACTTTATAATTCTCAAATTTGATTGTACGTTTCGTTTAGTCCAAATCATGGACTGGAAATTATAACAGATATACGATGAATGCTAGAGCTGAGTTGCACGCACATGTATGTTTTTATAAATTTAGGATTTTTTAAAATAAGTAATAACATTTGAAGATAACATAAAAAGCCGAATTGAAATGCAATTGTACATACAAACTACAAGTTATTTTGTTTCGAAGGTGCACAGTAAGCAATGATTGAATATCAAACTAGTGTGAATTAATTTATATTAAAGACATCATATACGTACTTGATATGGCTTTAAAACAGGAAGAACATCAACGATTGTTGGAAGTGGTGGTGGAAGTAGTTGCCCAAGAGCCATAACACTAGTTATTATCGTCCCTTTACATGTGCTACAGTTAGCTAAAATAGTAGCAATAATAGCTCTTAACAGAACAGAGCAGTAGGCTAAAGCTGGTCTATACCACGCTGTCAATTGAAGTAATGTCCATAAAACAGGTGCATCCTTAAACGACCGTCTAATTTGCAAGTCTCTTTCTACGGTAACCTTAGATATATCAGAGAAAATAATTATTTTATATTTTAACATACTCCGTAAAAATTTTACTCTTTTAATTCAAGTCAAAGATAGTTTGCTTACTTTACTGAATTCTTCATCAGGCCATGGTAATCCATTATACATAACATCAGAGGATATCAATTCTACTAAAAGTAGACTCAACAGATTTACAGAATCAATGTCAACAGGATATTGTTTAAAATAAGAGTAGTTGGAACAGGCCTATTAAAGGAAAATTATATAATTTTATTGTACTTACAGCTAACTGTTAATGATAAAATATAACATACCTTGATCAAATCAACCAAAAGCATACTATTTAATACAATGTATTCCCTATTTATGATATTATGAGCATCTGATTTTCGAGGTCCATGTCCAATTATTCCGGCATGAAAAACACATGAATGTCTTTGGGCAAGAATCGTTCCACTGCCCTAGTTAAAAAAAAGTATAAATGAAAAATAATACCTAAATTCAAGAGTTTTATGTATTTGTATCTAGATAAAACAATTATTACTTGCTTATGATTTTGTTGTGAAAGCGATTCTTCTGTGAAAATAAATCTGTTCCTTTCTTGTGTACCAAAAAATTTAGCGTTTTCAGAGAATATAGCAACTTCTAAAATTTCACGAAGCGCTAGAACTCTGGCAAATTGAAAACATTTTATTAGTCCTCGTAAAAAACAACTAATCATTCTGACACCTCGCTCCTTCTTGGCAACATCTATAAGCATAGTCAGAAATATAATAGTAGTAATATATTCGATATTAATAGTGAATTATATTTTTGACTCATTTATAAATTAACTTTCACAAATTTTAATATGATTCAGTCTACACTATTTTCCGTCCTTTTTTTAACAATACACACGAATAGTAAAAAAATTTTTGCAAACAAGTAAAAATATCAAGAAATAGAAAAGCGCAGTTTAACTCGGGTCGCAAGTCTTTTGAAAAAATTTCTGTTTTTATTAAATGCTTTTACATCGCACTATAATTTAAACATACATCTCTTAATTCTAATTATACATTCATGTGCACGTGTGCTAAAAGAAAAGTATAACACACTCTGTCCCGCAGGTGTCACAGCTAAACTACCATATATCAGTATTGGGCAAAGACGACTTTTACATATCCTACCACTCTGATAACTTTCCGTCAGAAAAGTTTCGAAGCTTATCAGACCAGGGCTATAATAGGAGTACAGAAAATACTTATTTCTTCTAAAATACCCAAGTACTAAGGCATGTTTGATAATTTCACTGCATATTTGATATATATTTAGATATTTTTTTCTACAAGTCATGGTAGAGACATACAGGTCAATGTGCTCTGGAAAGCATACTTCATTTCACTTAGCCTTTTGGAGTTGAAAAAATACAAAATGTTAAAATGAAAAGTTTTGCTGAAAATTATGAAGTTCACGTAAAAGTATTTTTAAATGATGAAAAAAAAAATTCAAACATTTAGAAATTTTGATAGTAATGAAAAATTGACTCTACTTTTCACAAAAAATCTTGATTCAGGTCATCATGACATATTGGAGTATAAAAATTCTAAAACTAACAATACTTTAAATAGAATAATAAGCTAATCAACGAATCAAAACAAAAAAAAAAATGTTACTCTATGCGACAATAACGATAAAATTAACAAATTTAAAAGTCATTTTAATAAAAAAGTAATTGTAAGTGGCAAAAATAAATTGTTCAAAAATTTTTCAATATTTTTTAACGATTATAATCACATATATAACCACATATAATAGTGAGAATAACAATAGTGAAACATTTTGTCAATGAGTGGCAATATTTAAAAAACTACATTTTAAGAAATGATTACTTTGAAAATGTAATATTCAGAAACAATTATTTTAATCTTATGCCACTAAGTAGAATTTTTGCCACTGCAACTAAAATTCAATGTTTTGTAAAAATGATTAATGTGTACATTAAAATTACATTAGAAGATTTAAGTAACATTATATTTTTTGGTAATTATTCTAGTCATATAAAATTAAGTATATTATTTTCAGGTGACATAGATTCTGGTATATTAACTTTGATAACTTTTTGAAAAAAACTAAATGAAAAAAATATCCTGTGATACGTTTTATTGTGTTCTATAAAGTTAGTAACGTACGTATGTTTAAAATGTTGATGTAAGTGAGNATTTAATATAAAAAAAGCTGGAAATATAATAAAAAATGATCGTAATAAGAATTGTAATCGTATCAGTGCAACAAATAATAATGAATCCTAAACAGAAATTTTTTGCTATAGTAAAATGAGTTTCAAATGAAAGTGTTGTTCAGCAATTTTCTGGAAAAAAAAGGAATATCGTTGTTGTCACAATTGCAAGATTTGTTCAAATTCTCTGAGTGCATATGACAAAACAATGAAGAACCTTCTTTTTTACGATAACACTATTAGAATCCTAATCCAATATTACAATAAAATTTTTTGTTTTTAATATTTTATAAGTAATGAGATAAATAAAAAACAAGTTTATTTTATAACATAAAAATTCAAGGACAGCTTTGTCACTTTGGATCTTATACTCTTAAATTAAATGTGGGCAAAATAACTTAAGATGGTTAATTATATACGTATACCGATCAACTAGCGATTGAACAAGGATTAAGTTCAAGTAAAAACAATAACGTGATTAAAAATCACATAAAAATTCTGACTTTTATTATAAACAAAAAAAAATTTTATAGCTAAATCCTATAGATATTTAAATCAAATTGCTTATGTAAAAAAATTCCTTATTACAAAATGGTTTCTGTAAGAAAAAGAGAAAAAAATCCATAACTACATTAAATCATTAAGTACCGGAAGTGGATCAATCATTGTTTCAGACTCAGAATAACCAAAAAATCTTAATCTGTGTGGCTATCCAAAGGATTCAACAAATAACCATCCGAAAAAAACATATCTGAATAAACTCCCCCATTTTGTTGATCCAATGGTATTTTCTTTTCGGATACAGTACTAATTACTCTGAATATTTTTTTGATAGCAGTTATAATAATAATAATAATAATGATAAAAATAACCATAATGATAATAATAGTCGAAGTAGTTATAAAAATAATAGTCTTACTGTGTTACAATATTATTCATCTAGATTATCTTACAGACAAAATACAGACAATTTTAGTCCTTTATTATACATTGGAAGATTAACTGAACAGTTTTTTACATATATATACCTTATGATTAAAAGTCATGCACTAAACTATGTAGGGATTATTCAAATAACTAAGGAATTGAATGTTATGAAGAATTATTAGATGCAGGACAAAAATAGCACCTTAAATGTATTCGAAAACTTTAAGAATAATGAGAAAATTGGAGACGTTTATATATTCCCTACGACGTACGTTAGAGGACCACGTTATATGCAACAACAACATTTCTAAGATACTATGGCTATAATAAAGAAATGCGGTAGACCAGATATACTTATAACTGTAACGTGCGATTCTAAATGAAAAGAATTCAAAACGGTTCTAGCTAACTTTCCAATAAAAACAGTGCCTAGCTATGTACAAAACATAACTGTTCGACTATTTCACACATAATTACAATCAATTTTAGACGATACAACGCGTAACAATATTTATGGTCATATATTAGCTTATGTTCACACAACAGAGTTCCAAGAACATGGACTACCTCATGCACATTTACTTATAATATAATATTCTGATAATACAATAATTACTCCTAAAGATATAATGTAATATAATATCAGCTACGACTATTTGAAATACTAAAAAACTTACAAAATTAGTTATTAAACATATGCTACATGATCAAATCATATTTAATAATGCAATTAATACACTTTTTGAGAAAAAAAAAAAAAAAAAACTAGCGCACCATAGCACTACATCACAGGTGGTATGGAAATGTGCTAACAAATACATACAGATAAAAAAATTATTAAGAGAGTCGTAAAAAGTGGCTGAAGAGGGCTAGAACAATTATTGGGGCGTTCCTAAGACAATGTGTTTAGAAATTATAAGAGGACTTAGGAGCTCTCTTAAAACTGTAAGGAGTGCATAAGGAGGAGGTGCAAAAAGTAATATGACTAAAAATGACATGGAAACCGATATAAATTTATCTTAAAGATGAAGCTGAGGGGTAGCAGTAGGGTCATCTTTAAATTGTGTTGGGATGCACTGTTATTGGGTTATCAAATTGGGAGGGAGGTAGAGGGGGGAGGAAAAGGGGCTAAACAAAATTATATTTTGTTGTACTGTTAATGGGTTATAAAGTTTAAAGGAATGGTGGAGAGACGGTGGAGAGGCGCTAAAAAAATATGAAACTCAATTAAAATAAGGTAAAAACTGATAAAATTTTATTTGTTTGGAGGGAAGCTGAGCTAGTGATGTAGGGGCTGAGGGGCGGGGCTGATCAAAATTGAATTGGGGGCTGAGGAGGTTGAAGGGGGGTTGGAGGAGAGCTAACTAATAATTCAATCCAATAAAAATAACGTAAAAACTGTTAGAATCTTAGCATATTTAGAAAGGGGCTGAGGGGTGGCAGAAAAGAGAAAGAGGAGGGTTGTGTGGAATGCCCTTATAAAATCACTATACAAAATAGTAATATTTATATTCTCCTATATTATATAGGTGGTTTGTGTGGATCGGAAGTAAAAGCATTCACGCCCTCATATAATTTTATGTTTTATTTGAAATAAAATAAAAGTATGCTGGTTTTTGTGCTTATTTATTATTATTATGCAGTTTGGTAACCTACATTGTTCATCGCACGACATTTAATCCTCTTTCCACTCTACACAGATTTCTATAATACCCCCACTATTCTCCTAACCCACCCCACAAAATAATAGGAAAGTATGTCATTTTTCCCTGTAAACAAATTTGATTTGCCCCTCACACCCCCACTGTTTCCCACATTAACAGTCCGACATCTCTATACTTTCTTGCTGTCCACTTTTTCCATACTCCTCCTGACCACCAACATAGTTTCTTATAAAACATTAAACAAAACTGAGTATTAAGAAAATTAAGTATAAGAGACTCCATTGTTTGTAGGAATCTCTAGTATTTTATTTATATCGATTCTAGGTAATAAGTTAGCTTAGCATATAAAATATAATTTTTCAGCAGTAACGGAACAAAAAAAAAATTTTTTTTATCACCCCGAGACTTAACATTTTAGTATGTTTGTATAAAAGTAACGAGGATCGTTTACAAACAAAGCAACAGTTTTGCTTACGCCTCAGTAACTTTATATATACATAGATATATACGTTATATAGCCATATGTGTGGGGCATTCCACATATCCCCAACACAGCCCCCCACAGACCCCTCACATGGACCCCCACAAAGAAGCTGCAATTCGACCGTTTTCATCAATAATTTGACATTTTCTAACTTTTTTCTTAGTCCCCCCACAGCCCCCCCC